CATATCGTATCAATGCGGAACGGAGGGATTATCCCGTCATGCCCGTACATGCAAGGGCCCCTGAAACTTTGCCTGGCGAGTGCCGCAATCGGTCAGACTTTTTTTTTTCGCTATCGTTGACGAGTCGATTACGAGGTGCAGTACTGTAGGTACGAAGCAGGAGTACGAAGTACAGTACCTGTACTAACATAACAGGCAGAAAGATTCCCGTCTTTGGTGTCCAAGCTCCCTGCCGCCGGCTGATCCATCCTTGCGCTTCCCCGTAAGCTGGCGACATAGCAATGCTGCCAATCCATAGGGCGGCAGCTAAAGAGATCGGGCCTATGGAAGCAAAGGGACGCAAGGGGAGGGAATAGCTTGCAGAAACTGGGCGCAGTGGAATGATTGGTAGACCACAATCTGATAAGAAGATGAAACTAAAAGAAACATGTACGATCTCAGTTTTCAACTTGAAACCTTGAAATACGGAAGAAGCCCACCACGCGGCATCTGTGGAGCCGAGAAATCAAATCGCAGGGGAGCTCTAGCGGGCTGCAACAGCGCTGGGGAGCCCCCGCAAAAAGTCTCAGCGAGCCTCCAGTTTTTGTCTGGTAGCGCTGCAGAGTTTGATGGATTCGGGTGGCAATCTGCCGGATCCCCCAAGTCCCCGCTCCAGGCCAAACAGGCTTCCTGTTTTCAGCACCTTTTTGGCTCTGTGTCTTTGACTTTTCTCGGCCATTTTGGTTTCTTCTTCTTCTTCTTCTTCTCTCTCCTCTCCCTCATTCATCCTCGCTTCTTCCACCTTCCTCAACAACACCGCTCCTATTGGCTTTCCCTCCAGCTCAGTCGCAGATTCTTGCACCTCGTCCACGCTCGGTTTTTGAACCTTTTCAGCTGCTCCCGGCCGCACACGCCATCTTACTCGTTTATGCGCCTGCTAGGAGGACATCCAATCTCCAAACTCGCCGACCGCTGCGCTCCGTACTAGATCCCTCCCGCCGAGACAGAAACAGAATTATACAACACACGAGAGGGAATCGATACTAAAATGGAGAGCTTGCAGCTGTCCCAGGTCCTCGCCGACTTGAGCAATCTCGGCGCAGCTGTATGTCTTACCATTGCCTCCCCCCATTCCTCGACATCGCCCGCAAAATAATCCCTCCTTCTTCTTTTTCTTTTTACCTTGTCTGACAATTATTATTTCAATAATAGGAACCTGCGGCCGCTACCGCCATTATCAACGCCAACCTCCCCGCCATCCAGGCCGAACTCATTAAAAACGACGCTCACGCATCTTCTCAGCAGCAGCAGAGGCCATCGTCCGGCCTGAGGCGCGCATGGTCTTCCGAGGCTGCTATGCAACCCAAATTCGACAAGATGGGCCGCCGCATTCTCATCAACTCGCCCAAATCGGGATCTGCCGCCAATTCCACTCCCGGCACCCCCCAACCCTCTAATGTAAGTTGCGCGCTGCCTTTTGATTGAAACTCGGAGAGAAAATTTCATAACTAGAGTTTCCCCCAAACCTACTTGCAATGTATAACTAACCGAAGCTTGCTCTTCCTCTAGTACGATGACGATCTTGAGCGAGCTAATACCCTCATGGCTCTATACGACATCCGCTCCAAGCTCAAGCAGCAGGACAACAGCAGCCTCATGCGAGCGCGCGAAAAGATTAACGCTTTGGCTCAGAGGCAACAAGCCCAACAATTTGCTGAGCTCAATATGAAAAAGGCCGAAGAGATGCGACGAAACCGATATTCCTTCCCCAAAGTATAAAGTACTACGCTTCTGGCGCATTCTTATCCTCGCCTTGTTTTGGTTTGCACACATAGCGCAAACCGTAAAAGCTGGCGTGGCCAAACGAAGGGTCCTTGAGTTTCCCTTTGAAACTTGTGAAAAGACACTATCTCTTCAAATCGAGAAAATCTGGCGACAAACGCAGATAATGATACACATTTCCTAACCAACACAACCTACGGCCTAACATTATACGTTATTCTCGACGATGAACGAGCAAGTCAATTTTGCACCGGTGGCGAACTGGGATAGGGTTGACTTTGGAAGAACGGGTTTTACTTCTTATACCCTCCTTTTTGGTATTTTTGGATGATATTCTTGGGTTTTTGAGTACACGGCAAAAGGACGGTTTACCTGGCAGCCACTCTCCTTACGCAAGCGGAATCGAGCACGGAGTCTTGGGAGAAAAGGCGTCTTTGTCTGTCATGATCGCGCGCAAAGCCGACTATTAGTTTCTATATGCTTATTTTCTTTTTTTTTTGTTTTTTTTTTTTTTTTTTTGTTTTTTTCATTCATTCCTTTTCTTGAGAGAATGACGGAATGACCGTCTATTTGGTGGCATTTCTCACCTGGCATGCGAAACGAGCACATTTGGAGCTCCTGTACAATATAAAACAACTAATACAACGGCATACCATCACTAGCATTGAATCAACAAGCAAGGTCGTGAATGCTACTCGAATGGCAGAATTGAGCATGATTAACTCATCAGAGCCTCGGGCTACCCCGCGTCGATTGATTCATCGGACAGTCTTGAGCCCGAAAAATTCGGACGGATGCAGCGGCATCAGACGAGGTGGGTTTGGAACGAGATGCAGCGATGGCAGCGAATGCCGCAAAAGATGCCCCCCGTTTCCTAGGAGGTTTGCGGAGTCACTCTTGATCTGGAAATCGGATCCAAAAAGAAGAAAACAAAGGGCAGGAATATAGACAAGGTGAGACTATCGAGAACAGACGGCTACTATTTCCTAATTCGGTCCTTTGACAAAGGAAAAGTGTCCCTCTTTGGCAAAGCTGGGGCTTTTACAGAAACAGGAGTCGGCACATTCCTATTTCCTATTTCAACAATTACCTACTACTCGTATACTTACTGTACGAATGGGGCATGATCCGGGGTAGGCAGAGCATAGCAGTCAGATGATGAAGGCTGAGTGTTGAACAATTTGATAAAGGCATTGACATCAAGACGAAAACAGCTTGGTGTTGATGGCTTGATAGCAATGCGCCCTTTGCTGTGCCTGGCGGCCTTGTGCTAGCAGGTAAATTAGTAGGAAAGAGGCGTATTTGAACGATGAGCCTCTGCAGTATACACAACGGACCAAAGGCTGACACTGACCCAAGTACACAGCAAAGCAGAGCACAGCAGAGCAAAGCAGAGGCGTGTTGGCGTATACGGGCATGGCCGGGAAGGGCTCTTGGGCTCCTTGGCGCATGGCTTAGGACTCGCGCCAGGAATCGCGAATGCGTCATAAGCCGGGGTCGATGATATAATCACAAACCATTGATCGGTCGCAGGCTTTTAAGGTTCCGGCGGGCGGGTTTTTTATGGAGCAGCCTCGTTTGCGAAACGGAAGAAGAAGAAAAGGCTGCCAGACGCGATGGAGTGGAATTACGGAGTATATTTGCAACCGATGCTGGCTGGTGATGGGGCTTTGGAGGTCTGGGTACCACGGATCAAGATGGAGAACAAGGCAGAGCAGACGCAGCGAATATTTGTCATTGCATGCAGGGCTTAGCTTCCGACGTCAGATGGAGAGGAAGAAGAATGTACATGCTCTGCTCTTTTCTTTCTAGAACCCGTCGAAGTTTAGCACCTTTGGTCGTATTCCCCATTGCGATTGCGTCTTGAACAGCGCCAACCGAATTGCTGGAGCCTTGGCCCGCTGGATGAGGGGACTGGGGAGAGCTCAATTGTTTTCGCAGATGGTGATTGGATGAGATGGAGAAGTTGTGGTTCCTGCACAGCCACCCCACGCGGAGTCGGACAAGAACATAGAAGTGGCAAAGGCCGGAGCTTTCAACCTCATCAACGGTTCAACGGAGTAACTGTACATACGAGTACACATACGCACTAACGGGTGCCGAGGTGAAAGTAGTGCGCTGTCAAAATCTGGCAGCGCCGGAGCGTTTGTTGCCGGATGCCGTGGTTTGTTTGGATGCGGATGCGGGTGTGGATGTTGCACGATCGGATGCTTTTGCTTGGGAGCCAAGCTCGTGTGCGCTGTGGCTGGTGTGCTGGTGGTGTGAGGTCCATGCTTTATTTCCTCGGCTGCTCAGAGTCGGGGCAGTACCGGTACATGGCGATGGTTGGATGCTTGCAGCGTTTTGCTGGGTGGATGGATGGATGATCAAACAAAAGGAGCAGCATCGAGGTACCCATTCGATGTGTAATCCTGCGAGACTCTAGACATGGGCCCTTGGCAGCTCATCCGTCACGCTGCGACAGAAGCACCCTCGGAATAAGCACGCTAAGAGGGTCTGGCATCAATGCGGCGGGCAGTGCTGCAACTTGCAACTTGTCCCAGTGATGTGCCATCGTCAGATCACTCCCCTTCTCCAGCGAGTGGCGGGCGTGTGCGGTGGCACTGCTGGCTGGCTGGCTTCAATTCAAGGCACTGCACTGGAGCAATCCAGGAGCCCGACATAGGGCAAGCGCAGGTTTTTCCATTTTAATTCCAGATTCCAATGCCTTCCATTGCGATAAATACGCTCGGGTCCTTTGTATATAATGCGACGGTGTCTTCTCTTTCCTTTTTTCGACTTCTTCTATTGATTCCTTCAAACTGCTTACGAGTACGCCACAACGACGACAACCCTTGTACTGGTACTCGCTCGACCTAAAATAAGAATAATAAAAGAGGGGAACGGCGCCGGCTTCTGATTCACAGGGATTCCCAACGTCATACAAGCCAAGTCGCAGCTTTGCAGGTTGCTGCCCACCCCGAAAAGTAAGACAAAAAGGACAGGACGCGGCCAAGCCAACGCATTTTTTAAACTCTGGCCAACCCTCGAAAAACCCTAACCGTTCCATACACGTAACCTTGTTTTTATCTCTCTCTCTCTCTCTCTCTCTCTCTCTTTCTCTCTCCTCCTTTTCTTCTTTCTTCTTTTCGCATCATCCATCGTCGACTTCTTCTATCAACTCGTCGGAAAAAGAAAGCGACCACCTTCTTTCTCCATCTCTCTCTCTCTCCTCTACCTAAATACTACGATCTGCAAATATGGCCCCGACAATGGTGGACCTTTTCGCGCGAGATGACGGCTGTGGATATGGCTATTTCTTCGATGGAATCGGCTGTCGGCGCAAGAGTGGGTGGTACTTTTGGGGCAGATGGGTGCTCGCTGGCATCGCCATCGTTTTCGCATTGTTTCTCTTGTTCTGCTGCTTGTAAGTTGATTTCCCTTTGTTTTCCTTTCATCATTCTCTTTTTTTCCCCTCGCTGTTATCCATTTATGCATACCTTGTTTGTACTAATCGCCGTCATCGCAGGTGCATCTCAAGACGCAATCGCAGACGTGGTGTGACGCCCATGTACGGCACCGGCTGGTTGGGTGGCGCCCCAGCCCAAGGAAGTCGTCCCTCTGGCAACCACAAGCACAACAACAACAATAACAACAACAACAACAACGGCTACGAGATGAACAACTACCAGTCTGGATATACCCAGGGCGGCTACACCCAGCAGCAGCCTCCCTATGGCGAAGGATACGGATATACTAGCCCTCCGCCGTACGGTCAGGCACCTGTGGGCAATCAGCAGACGGGCACAACGTTCAATACCCATGATGGATACATGACCGGCCAGCCTCAATACGGTGTTCAGCAGCCTCAGACCTCATATCAGCCCGACGGCCATTATCAGCCTCCTGCGGGACCGCCTCCAGGAAAGTAAAGTGGCGTGAAGCAATAGCTGGCGCCAAAGGCTGAGTGACGAGGGCCCGAAGGTGGCTCTTTCACACAAGGAACAAAAAAAAATTCACAAAGAAACACAAAAAGAAAAAAGGGTAGACGGATGGGATGGGATTAATCAGGCGTTTCGGTAGGGACTAGGGGATTGTGGGAGACTGATATCCAACTTTGCTTTTTCTTTTTTTGCTTTAATGGGACGCGAGAGGCTATTAACCCTGATGAAACGGCATATGCCTTGACGAATGCCTTATGCGACGGCGTTGAACTACTACTTCTTGGAGCGGCTGAATAGCCTGAGCTAAGACTAGTATATGCCTTTGTGTCCTTTTTATCTTCTTATTTTTTTTTCGGCTTGGTACATTTCTTTCACATCTGATAGTCAAGTTTTAATACGCATGCTCCGAACAACGTTTACATCTGCCGTGACGAACAGACGAAAATGCGATGCTCTCCAAGATACTCCCCACAGTGTCTACATGTAACAAATGATGCAGCCATGACTGGCAGTGCTCGGAGGCCTCTCTGCTGCACGACAGCGGGGATTGCGTGCCAGTCAAAGGCCTATCAGATGGACTTGGACATGACGCTCTGCAGATGCCGCGTACTGCACGTGTTTGTTATCTTCTCGCAAGTACCTATATATGTATGAGTTTTTGTTTGACATTTACATTACTAGAAACCAGAATAAATGCCTGGCTTTGTTAGTATTGAATCTCTACAATCTGCCATGATTCATTCTAGTCCCTTCATTAAATCAGCTTCGCCTGAGAACAACGACAGCACCGCTGAACGATCGCGGTCAATCCATCCGTTAAGGGGCAGCATCTGATCGCATTTAGTCGTACGAGATTCGACATCTATCTTTTACGCTTATTACAAATTTCAATACTAGACCTAGGCGCCAGTGGAACGCTGCAGGGGAAGACTATGGCTTTTTTTTTTTGTCTTTCTTTTCCTTTTTTCAGCCCGTTCGAGACCTTTTTGACACGTTGTAATAGGCTGGCCATGGGACGTGCGTGCCCAAGAATAGGCCGGGTCAGCGGGCCGTGAACAGCTGAGGGCTGGAGGCTGAAAGCTGAGAATCCAGGGAGCAGAGAGGCTGAGAAATGATGAGCTGCAGTGGGACAAAGGAGGATGAACGAGGGGGAAAAAAAGCAAATCACAATTTGAATGGAACAAAAAGAAGAAGAAGAAAAGGAGAATGCACGTAATACTGTACTCGTGTGTTCAATGGAAGAACTGGTACAGTACCCAGAAAAGGAAAGGAAAGGAAAGAAAGAAACGAGTAAAAGAAAGGAAAAGAGGGTCTGAACTGTCAATCCCCACGACGTCTGATGCTAGCGGCCCCCATTGCGAATTGGGATCCTCTTGTCCCAATTACCGTTCTTGGCGCAAGGTCAGATTTCGACGAGACAAGGGGAAGGAGAGGCCCATTTCATTGTCCTTTCATTCTCTTTTATTCATGCGGGTGCGATGACGTTGATGATGATGATGTGCGTCCCTTTTTTTTTTTTTTTTTTGCCTTTGTCGATGCTTATTTTACAATGATGACTGGTGGAACTTTGATGCTTTTTGCCTCTGAAAAGACGGGCTGAAAGCTCGGGCACAGGCACGGGTCGAGATTACGAGAGCTTCTGGGTCGGGTACCTGACTTGGACGCCAGCGATACAGTAGCGTGCTGGGGCCGCTACCTGTTAGTTCGAGTACCTGTACCTGTCCCGCCTGTACTGTACAGCCTCCAGTTAGAGCTTTGGGCGATGCCTCCACTGTAAGAAGCCCCAAGGTATCCAGTACGGGGCATCGCCGACGTCCCCAGCCCGCCTGACAGGTACCGGTACCCCAGCAGCTCCTTCCCCTGCAAGGCACGTTCCCGGCTCCCTGCATTGCATATGCGTGCGTGATAAACGGCTGGAGCGACAGGTGCCCCCAAGGCCCCTTCCCATGCCATGCCGGACATGCGGCACGATGCCCATGGCCTCACTCCAGATTAATTTTCTTTTTTTCTCTCTCCCCTGCTCTTGTGGAAAACCTTCTCGTTGGATCTTTTTCTTCCTCTTCACTCTCTCTCCCCCCAACATCTTTCGCTGCCTTCTCCCAGGCTTCATTCCTTCTTTTTGCTTTCTCGGGCCCCTGCACCAACGGCCACGTTCATTCTTTTTTTAGGAACTGGATTTTTTCGTCCTTGTTTCCGCCCCTCATTTCATCGTTACTGGGAAGGGATTCGAAAGAAGAAACGACACCTTGACGGTATAACCAGCACAACATAACGACTCAAAATACCTAGAGCGCGCGCGCTAAATCGACCCGAGCTTTTTCGTCAGCGTTTTCGTTGGATACGACTGCCTCTCCATCTCGACGAGCGACGGTTTTTTTTTTTTGGTTGCACAGCCCTTCTCTGCGACACTCACCTCAAAGTTTCGCAATTTACGCGCGGGCCTCTGTAGCCAATCCTTCATTTTTCGGCGGTTTCGGGCCACCTTGATACGATCCTTGCTCTTGCGGAGAGGAACTGTGTCACGTCTGTGCTACGACACCTCTAGCGAGTTTTCGCCAGGGGTAACATTCACGTTCATATCGTTGTTGTAACGGACTACACGGCGTGCGACACCATTCTTTATTTGGTTTTTTGACCAGAAACATCTTTCGATTCTGCAGTTCTACGACACCGGTGGTGGTTTGTGGAATTTACAAGTCGCCCATCTGTTTAGATTTACGACTATTTTCTATCCTTCAGAGCGTATTGCTTTTTTATTCATTTCGACTTGCGAGAACATAGCACATCGTCTGCATCATCACGTCGATTAACGCATCGAATCCGACATATCGAAAAGACCGAGCTGCTTTTGTGCTGCTAATTTCGCTTCCGACACTCGCCAATTGGTGCATGACCTAGACACCCGTTCGCCAAAGACGACATCAATTACGAGCTACAGGTGCTACCAACCTTATTTATACTCGACTACATCCAGAATTAACCACATTATATACATCAAAGACGCAAGTCGAAACATACACGATGCCTTCGGTCGATGTTGCCATGGTCCGAAGCCTTCGTGGCGGGCTGTGGGAGACCGTGGTGGACACTGTGGCAAGGAGCCTTGCTGCCCAGGTTATAAAACGAGATATCGTCTCCGATGGTGAGAACAAAGTCTCGGAAATCAAGGAAGCCTTTTCCAGCTGGGATGCCTGCATGGCTCACGTCTATTGCAAGTAAGTTGAACAGTCTCAACATTCCATGACGGGTCGTCCATGAAAGACATTGCTAATCTCTCAATAGGTGGCCTGCTATTGCCCTTATGATCATCGGCGGTCTCATCCTTCTCAGCATTGTCATATGTATTGTCCGGTGCACCTGCTTGGGCATGTCCTGCTGCTGCAGCTGCTGCTACTGCCTCAAGTGCTGCGGCAACTGCTGTGGCTGCTGCGATACCCCCGGTGGAAAGCCCCACAAACATCTCGATGAACCATACAATCCCCAGCAATCCGGATACGGAGGATATCGCCAGGAGGCTCCCATGGCAGCTCATGTGCCGGCGCCCGCGCCTGCGCCCGCACCCGCGCCGGCCTTTGCCCCGCAAGCTTCTCACGGACCTCCGCAGTACGCAGAGTTTGACGTCTCCAAGCATGATTCTGATGCCCTCCCCGCCATGCCAAGCTGGGAGACCGCCAACTCTAAGAAGATGGTAATCGAAGAGGAGGTTGAGATGGATGATTTGCCGCCGCCCAAGAAAGAGGCTCTCCCTCAACAGAACCAGGGCATGAACAGCCCCAGATTTGGAGGACCTGCTCAGCAGCAGCAGCAGCAGCGACGACCCCCGCAACAACAGAGGGCCATGGGCCGAAATGACCCGTACAATCGGCAACAGACCACTTCCCCTGGCCAGATGAACAATTATGGCCAGCCTGCTAGCCCATATGGCGGACATGACCAAGGCTATGGTGCCCATGACCAAGGTTACGGTGCTCAAAATCAAGGATATGCCGCCCACGATCAAGCCTACGGTGCTCATGATCAAGGATATGGTGCTCACGATCAAGGCTATGGTGCTCACGATCAAACCTATGGTGCTCACGATCAAGGCTATGGTGCTCACGATCAAACCTATGGTGCTCACGATCAAACCCACGGAACCCACGATCAAGGCTACAACGCACACAATCAAACCTACGGAGCGCATGAGCAAAACTACGGAGGACATGATCAGGCCTATGGCGTACATGACCAAGCTTACGGTGGACATGACCAAGGCTTCAACGGACATGGACAGAACTATGGCGCGCACGAACAAAACTACAGTGGCCACGACCAAGGCTACGACAACCACGTGGTGGATGGATACGGTGCCAATCAACCCTATGATCACGCAGTCCCCGCCGCAAGCATGAGAATGAGCCCTGGCCACCAATCGCCTACTTCCAGTCAGAATGGATTCGGCATCCCACGACAAATGACGCCAGGCCCGGCGCACATGCCGATTGCTCCTCAGGAGCTTGATGGACATAGCTCACCAGACCACTATGGCGCGGACCCCAATATGCGAAAGTCTCCCGGTCCCGGCCTGAACCAAAGGCAGTCCCCAGGCCCCCAGAGCGACTTTGGCATCGCCCCGCAGAACAAGCCGGTCCCTTACAGGACGTATACTCCGGCGCCGCAGAAGGCCGTACAGGAAGCTCCTGTTGCTCCTCCTCCTATCGCCAACAACGGGGGATTCGACTTCAGCTCGGGCTATTCCCGTCCTCAAACCCGAGAGGGACCCAATTACGATCGCCGCCCTAGCGAATCTCACGAGCGTGAGGACCACGAGGGATACCCAGGCTACAAGCCCTACAGCCCGTCTCCACAGAACTGGACCGGTGTCTAGAAAGCTTCCGCCGAATGATCGAAGATTCATTTCATCTGCATGACATGGATGTCGGTGTATCATATATTCTGGGGACATTTTTGCGTGGCGTTTTTGAAAAAGGCGAATCAGCAGCCAGTTAGAGGTCAAGTGGTGTTTTTCTTTTTTTTTAACAGGGCAAAACCTCGTGTCTCGGTGCTTGGATCAATGCTCACATTATGACGATATTGTTTTGGATATGCTCACTTGGTTGATTTCTTTTCTACGATTCTTTGACGGGCATTGTTTGCCTTGATCCTTTTGAAGACATAGATGATGAGCACACGGCTTGGGGCTATTGTATGTATGACGCAAAGTGACTGGAGTTTTTAACGTAACTATGATGAAGAAGCTATTTATATGGATTTTGATAGATCTTCTTTTTTTTTGGATTTCTGTGAGATGAGTTGCATTAACCAACTTGGATCTAACATTGATTTGTAGTCTCTTGGTGAAGTCCAGATGGAATAAGTTGCTGGACTACCAGCTTTGGAAAAGGTCCAACGTCACACGTCTGTCTGTCACGCACGCATACAAAGGAAAGAAGAAAACCACAAGAATTAGGCAAAAAAAGCAAAAAAAGAAAAAAAAAGATCGTCGAAGGAATTCTTCATCGCTCATTATGGACGAACGGGGAATCGAACCCCGGACCTTTCCCAGGCGTGGATACCGGCTTTCTCCAGGAGGAAGCCAGATGCTAAGGGAAAATTATACCACTAAACCATCCGCCCAGCGTAAGCTGTTGTTGACGCCTCGGCTCGCAAATTCCGTACATGAACGGAGGTCTGTGCTTTTTGTAGCAGCTACGTTGAACATGGAACACCAACAAACACGTTGGACCTTGTGTGATGCACGGACAGACAGCGCGAGGGATGAAGAAGCTCCACTGTGTGGGTGGTGCCGTGTATTCCTCCAGAGGTCGATTCTATCCTGTATAACCGCTACTTTGACATGAAACAAGCCAGGACTGTTACAAAACACGGAACAAGTAAAAAGAAGTAAACCGAGAAAAAAATCAATTGCGGCCCAAGAATGAAGTGCGCCCCCAGAAGTCTCCTGCGCCAGAATATGAAATTGAACCAGTAGAGCAAAAAAGGCTCTTTCAGCAGAAAAAGAAGAAGAAAAGTCCCAAGCAATAATGACGTTATGTTTATATACAAAGTGTTGCTCTGTGTGTGTGAAGAGGGGAATGGTCTTTGTAAGAGCAGTCGGTGTTACTCTTTGGGGAACAGCTCGACTGAGACGCCGCTGGGCGGCTTGGAGACAGACTGGTTCGAGCTGCTGCCGATAATCGTCGGGGCGTCTCCGTCTACTTCGGGGTCGTATTCTTCGCCGAGGTTGTTGCGCGACCGTCCACCGATCTTGACACGGCTCTCACTCCGGTCGTCTGAGTTGGTACCATCGGCGCTTGATCGCCTTCCTTGGTAGTCGTCGTCGTCGTCGTCGTCATGGTCCTCGGACGGTAGCCTCTCATGGTCTGTCACCTTTTGCTTGATGAAGGAGTCGATGATGTAATACTGGAGAGCGTTCATGATGAGGGGGAAGATCATCATGACGAATGCGACCTGGAGCTTCTCGTTGCCCTCTGTCCATCCAAGCGCCCAGTCGCCGACCTGCGAGATCCAGGGCATCATGATGAAGATGATGAGGACGCAGACCTTCATGCCAAACAACCCGGCGAAGTATATAAAGGACTGCTTGAGCCACCACCAGGCGTTGGGGGGGTTGCCGTAGTAGCCCGACTTGACGGACTCGACAGGCTTGCCGAGCGGTGTGAAGCTCGCCAGGGCGCTGAAGACGCGCAAGAGCACAATGAGGATGGGGATGCCGACAGTAGTCTGTTTCGCACAAGTCAGCGCTCGAATTCAAACGACGTCGAGATTTGCGATGACTGCTTACATCTATGGCCAGGTTCAAGAGATAAAAGGAGCACGGGTTGGGCACGTAGTCGTCGTCGCCTCTGCCCACCAGCCTCTCGACCACGGTCGGCTCTACCTTGATGGAGAAGCGGCCACTAGTGAGCATCGACATGAAGATGTTGGACATGTGCACCAGCACCGACCCAAAGACCTGCTTGGACACGTCAAAGAACCAGACCTTGACGGGCCGTCGCGGGTGCTCCCTCCAGCGCTTGTAGACCAGCGACAGCATGGCCAGGCCGCCGAGCGCCGCCTGGACGACCAGGGCAAAGGGGCCCAACAGCTGACATTCGCCCTGCGAAGAGTCGATGTGAAAGGGCCCCGAGGGAGAGGATGTGGCCGTGGCCGTGGCCGTGGCCGAGGCGAGCGTCGTTGTGAGAGTGGCCATGGCTGTGAAGATTGCGGGAGTAGGAATGTCGACTCCTATCGCCGCATCACGAGCGAGCTGCATGCCGTTGGGAAGAGCGTCGTCGTCGAAATACGAAAAGGAAAAGGGAAGATATATCGCGGGTCTGCGAAGAAAGAAAGAAAAAAAGGGTAGGACAAGGCAGGCGGGTATCGCCGCGGCTGAGTGGCGGAGCAAAACGTTTCGTTCAAGACTGCTAATTAGGCACGGGACAGCGATTTGGATTGTCACGAGAGCCCTCCCAGAAGACTCTTAGTTTGCTTTTTCTTTTCTTTTTCTTTTCGGGGGTGGTGCGTGCCCAGCACAACAAAACCCGCAGCCAGTTGAAGAAAAAAAGAAAAGCAAGGGAAAAAGGCAGAAGCTCAAGAAAAAGGGAAACGACGAGATTGGCTCGATACGAGATGGCCAAAAAAGCTGCTCGTTGGTTACATCACTGAGTGTCGTTGATTACCTTATTTTCGGCGCGGCTGGGGGTGATTGAGCTGCCGAGAGTACCAGCGACCGGGGCGGCTCGTATTGGGCAAGGCGCGAAACGGGGTAGGGGCTACAAGGCGGGACGGGGCCAATCATGGGCCGGCGTTTGGGATGACGGTCTCGATCTGACGGCGGCATTCCGTCCCAGGCCATCCCTTGAACTGCCGGCCCAACACTTTTTCCGTAGATTTCCGTAGATTACAAGAGACCCTGACAGCTTGTAGCTGTGGCTGTGCTCGTTATGTGGCTCGTTATGTGAGGCTAAGGTGGTACGGTACCTCTCTCTCTCTCTCTCTCTCTCTCTTTTTGGTGGGGCAATCCGATCACCAGCGGGAAAAAGTTGGAAGGCTTTCTGAATATCAGTCCCACGACCACGACCTCTTGCCTCTGTCTCCGTCTCCCGAGAACTCATTTGCCCAGCTCTCCGCCCTTCTACAACCAGCCCGCCATGTTCCGCACGCGGCTGCTACGGATGCCCCGGCAGGCATTGGGCCCGACCCTGCGCGCATCCGCCGCCAATGGCTCCAGCTTCAACTCCAGCGTCAACAAGATCAACGCCGCACGAGGCCTGCACTCGGTGCCCGCGCTGCCTCACGACTACTCCGAGGGCGTGCCCAACCTGATGAGCCCCGGCGGCTTCTCCCTTGCCTGGACAGACTACATGACCGTCACGGTGGACAAGCTCAACGCCATGATTGCCGGTAAGCAAAAAACACCCCGTTATTGAACTCTGCCCTCTCCATCTCGAAACTCTGAACCAGATGCTGATAGCTCGGGCCCAGGCACCGAGCTCGAAACCCACGACGTCAAGACCATCCTCCTCATGACGGCCCGCGAACCCAGCCAAGCCCCCATCTTCAACCACGCCTCCATGGCGCACAACAACCACTTCTTCTTCCAGGGCATCGCCCCCAACGGCACCCCCATGCCCGACGAGCTGCGCCGCGAGCTCGAGGCCTCCTTCTCCTCCGTCGAGTCCCTCCGCCTCGAGTTCATCGTCACCGCCTCCGCCATGTTCGGCCCGGGCTTCGTCTGGCTCGTCAAGGCCGGCCCCGGCGACTACCGCCTGCTGCCCACCTACCTCGCCGGCTCCCCCTATCCCGGCGCCCACTGGCGCGTGCAGTCCACCGACATGAACACCGTCGGCAACGACGGCTCCGCGCGCTCCTATCTCCGCAACCAGAGCCTCGGCGCCAGGAGGAGGGTCGGCGACCTGCCCCCCGGAGGCATCGAGCTGGAGCCGCTGCTGTGCCTCAACACCTGGGAGCACGCTTGGTTGCTGGACTGGGGCCTGGGCGTCGATGGCAAGGGCGGGAAATCTGCCTACGTCGATGCCTGGTGGAAGCTGATTGACTGGGAAAAGGTGCACCAGAGGTCTGGCGTGCTGCGACCCGAGTACATGTCGGAGACATCTCCATGATTAGGGAGACGATGGGGCAAGAGAAAGATGAAAGAAGAAGAAAAAACAAAAAAAAAAAAAAAAAAAAAAAAAAAGACCAGCAGAATAAGAAGACGGGGGGGGCTTGGGCAACGAAAGAATAAGAGAGGGCCAAGATTTAACGTATATATGTCATGCTAGCAAAACGAAAAGGGAAACCGCTCCGCTGGTGTACTTGGATCCGAGGGGTTGGAAAATGGTCGGATCGAGACGCCTGGTCGGAAGAGATGTAAGATAGTGTAAAGGTACTATATATACTTGTTATGCTCTATCTGAAAAAATCATGAGTAGAAATGTTTCTTTTGGAAAGGCAGATTGAGTTGTCATGAGGGCCGTCCCGAATGCGTTCTACCCTGGAGCCATGATGATTTTTGATATTTTGGCAAATCATGGCATCTTTGGTTAATTCCGCCCATTATGCATAACGCTCAATTATAAGATCATGAGTCTAAATGCATCCAATTGTCACAAGGAATATAACTTATCAAGAACAGTTGGTGGAACTTTAACATGGCTCATAGATACTACTATAGGTAATGTGCACAGCAATGGCACCATACTACATTGTCGAACAATCCAACCAAATAGGGCCCTACAATCACAAGCGATCAAAATGTACACAAAAGTATAAAGTAGATTTTCATATATATATATATATATATATACCTATATATTTGATTGCATCAATTTTCTGTAAACCAATACTCTCCCACGTCGAAAATCCCCAAGCCAACAGTGTTTTTCCAGAATTCGTTCTCATAATCCTTTGAAGGACGCTTTCTAACTTATAAATAATAGGTATCATCAATCTTAGCTCTCAAAAAAAAAAATACAACAAACAAATTCGCGCGTCTCTCGCTATGAATATGTGTCTTTCGCTCGCCAAATTTTTTTTCTTTGGGGGTATTTTTCTGCAAGAAGAGAAGAAAAGGGGGTTCAGGAGAAGTATAAATAACAGCGGAGGTAGGTGCATGCAGTCTTGCTGATTGGCCTCGGCGAGAGAAGGGGATATAATGAAATTGAAGGAGATTGAGAAGAGATGGAGATAGAATATAAAGAAAAAAGAAAAGGTCATGATTCATTCTTCGTTATAAACAAAAAGGAAAGTCATCAAAACTTTGAAACAAACAGAAAAACAAAACAAATTGAAAATAAAAAGATTGAATACGATATATCTTTTTAATGAAAATATGACTTAAATCATGTTACCGTTGACGCTGATCTCGAAGCCATCGCCCTTCTGCTTCAGCGCCTTGGCCAGCATAAGCTCTCGCATCCAGTCGATGCGCTCGTCACGGTTCTTGACCGCAAAGTGGTGAGTCTTGCCAGTGCCGTTGACACCCTCGGCCGAGGCGTTGGGCTGCAGAGAGCTGTCACGCTTGCGCAGTCGAGCTCCGTTCTTATCCTGAGGGATGAGCTGGAAGCTGAAGGCACCAACGGGATCGCTCTTATCACGGTTGTGAGAAATAGAGACCGCCTTGAAAGCTGCGGTGAGCTTGGAGGTAGATGCAAGACTGGAGCAGGCAATCGCGTAGTCGTCAATATCGACGTACTCGAGCGTGCGATCAACCTGCTGAGCATCCTTGTGCATGTTCAGGCGAGTGCCCTTCAAGGTAAAGTAGCCGTCCTGCCATTCATGACGAAGCATACGCATCTTGCGCTTCTTCATGGGGCCCTGGAAACTGACGCCGTTGGCAGGCACTGCGGCCGGTGCCTCCTTGGACTCGCCAAGGCCCATTGAGGGCATGGGTGGGATGGCCTGCTCATACGTGGTGCGGTCGACAGGTGACCAAGGATAATTGAAGCGAGGGGGGGCTTGGGTAGGTTGAGCCTGCTGCTGGGGCTGCTGCTGCTGGTGTGGTCGGACTGGAGTTCTGGGAGATGCCGACCTGGGTGAAGGAGCCTTTGGATAGTTGCGAGTGGCCCGGTTCTCGTCCAAGGCGGGAAGAACAGGGAAAGACGGGCGGCGACCAGAAGCTCGCGACTGGGACCGGTTGTGGCCCACAGTGGGAGCAGCCCGGTAGTTCATATCGGGAGGCACCGACTGAGAGACATCACGAGCAACGGGTCCAAGAGGCACGGCCGTGATCGGGACGTCCATCTCGGAGAATGGAGTCCCAAATCGATATGGGTTCTTTGCAGTTTCCAAGTCGGGAGACAATGGATCCCCCTTGTCCATCTGATATGGTACAAATTCCTGCTGCAAGGGAGAGGAACGGCGTGATGCCTGCTGCTGCTGCTGTTGTTGAACGGGCATAGATACAGGTGGTCGGGAAGGTGCCTGTCGGGCCGCGGGTTGAGGGTTACCTGGGATGGACAGCTTTGGTAGGCGTCTCAAGCCTTGGTGAGGTTGTGCAGATGGTGTAACTTCAAAGGGGGGAGTGGGTGGCACTTCATTGCTGCTTGGGTTGGACCTCTGAAAGTTAAGGAATTGGCGGACGTTATCCTGAGGATCGCGAGCCTGCAAGTTCCGAAGGGTCGTTTCCTGAAGATACTGCAGAGGTGGCAGGCCTCCAGGACCAAGGATGTCAGACGATGCCACAACAGACGGGACCGAATCGGAAAACGGCCGCATTGCCTCGTTGGGATCCAGGGCCCTGGCTGTGTCGGGGTTGCCTGCATCGCCATAGATGAGAACAGCTCCACTGGCGTTGTTGATGTCGATATGGGGATTCATGGCCTTGAACTCCTCAATGATCTTCTGCTGCTTCTTCCACTTTGAGCACTTCTCGCCCTTTGAACAGTTGTGAGGCTTTGGGATGACTTGTTCAATGCCAATGATGGATACAGATTCCATTGGTGTAATGGGATCGGTAGCCCGGCGGACTCTTCGCTTGCTCTCGTGGCGGCGTGTCGAGCCACTGCTATCCTTTTTCATCACCTTTCTAGCTTCCCGGCTCGGCCTATCCTCAATCGGAGTCGTAGCCTGGGGCGTGGCAGGCCTGCTATCCATCAATGCCTGGATTTGATGCCATACCCTGGTTCGAATTCCGAAAGAAGATATGCTTAGCTCCTTAAGGTCTTCAAACTTCAACGTGATCAGGATAGCACCGTTGATGTCATTCTCGATGAACCTCTCCGTAATCGCCAGCTCAATACCGGCATTGAGCATTGACTGTGCCACCATCTCGGG